CCAAAGGGCATTAAAGATTCAAAGGCTAGATAGAAAAGATATGTTTAAGTTATCTATGAACTGTTTTATGATTAACACAAACAATCCATATACAGCAAAAAATGAATCTGCAAATCCAGAAGGAAATTTACCAAAGTGTATGTATATGTATTTAAAATCTAAGAAAGTCCTACTATGCTTTAAAAAAAGACTTTGTCTAACTTTGTTTCTATTTGGAAACAAACTTGGGCTTCTGGCTAGAAATGGAAAGAAATAAACATTTAATTTTGGGATCTGTCGGTTAGAACTGTTTATGGTTATAGAAATAACACGTATTATTGATTTTAGAGTAAGAGGTTAATGTATATCTGTATTTTACCAAACAATGTTGGAAATTACACTTTTCCCCCTCTTTTCCTTTTTCTTTGCACTCCTAATTTTGCTTTTTCTTTAACCTGTCTTTTTTTCTTTATCCCCTTTTTTGCTTTTCATTTTTTATCCTTTGCCTAAACTTAATAACATTTAGGGGGAGAAATCTAAGAATGTTCTACAGTGCAGTTAGTTTTGTGACTCATTGGATAAAGGATTTTGTAAGAAGTTCTTCCAACCAACAGTTAACGTAATGAGATCAGAGTAATGAGATAACTGCAATCTGCCTCACCCATATACAGCCAGAGTTCTATCTAATCATTCCATTCACGACAAAAGAAGCACAACACAGATAATGGGCCAATTTCTTAGAAAAAACAGCACTGCAAGTTTACTCCTACCATAATTACTGAAGTTAGTCAACCTGTTTTGCCAGCTCCTTCAATTCTGATCTGTCCAAAATTATGAATTAGGAAGTTTTCAATTGCACACGAAGAGAAATCTTTCACTAGCTAGGTAGTAAGTCAAAAAGAGCCTGGTAGCATCTTTTCTGGCTAACAGATGTTATTACAAGGCATAAGCTTTTGTGAGCTGCAGCTCATTTCATCAGAAGGAAATGGATGGTCTCATATTACTATTTCTCAGAAATGCTATTGAGAAATAGAATTGCATCTGATGGTGAGCGGGAGCTCACAAAAACTTGTGATCTTTTATATAAAACATGTTAATCGTAAAAAATGATGGTTAGATTCCTTTTGATCCCCCCACAGATTAGCATAGCCCCCATAGATTAGAATCCTCCTTTTTAAATAGATTGGTTTCTTGTTAGTCACTAAAAATGTACCACATTATATATTTCAGTGAACATATTTTGCTTTGAAATCAAACAAGAAAAAAGTTAGTTCTAAGCAACCGGCAGGAAACCACTGGTTTGCACCCAAGTATGAGATAATATGTTGTTGTTATTATTACAATTAAATTCAACTATGAAATTACTGCTAAGTGCAATTAAACACTTATCATAAGGTCAACCATACTGACTGTAGTATAAACATAAAGGTAAAGGTTCCCCTTGCACATATGTGATAGTTGTTCCCGACTCTAGGGGGTGGTGCTCATCTCTGTTCAAAGCCAAAGGCCAACGCTGTCCAAAGAAGTCTCCGTGGTCAGCATGACTAAACGCCAAAGGCACATGGAACGCTGTTACTTTCCCACCAAAGGTGGTCACTATTTTTCTACCTGCATTTTTACATGCTTTCAAACTGCTAGGTTGTCTGAAGCTGGAACAAGTAACGGGAGCGCACTCCGTTACACGGCACTAGGGATTTGAACCACCAAATTGCCGACCTTTCTGATCGACAAGCTCAGTGCATTAGCCATTGAGCCACCTAGTATAAACTTAAGTATAAACATAAAACAATTCAAATACTGTAGAAGGGTATTTAAGTAAGAATAAATATGATTACATAAAATAACCATACATAAAATATCCAAATTATGTATTGTCCCCCAAATCTGAAAGTAAGATGCCTTTAACAGCCTATGAATAAGATAACACCCTTTGATAAAAGAGTTGACAAGTTTTCTGAGGATAGTACAGTACAGTGCTAGAACATAATGTGAAGGACANTGGCCTTCTCAATGGCCCATTAACAGTGGGGATGGGCAGGAAGCTACAGGCAACTATTCTGTCTTTTAAAACATGTTTCTTTTCATATCCAGAAAAATATTCTGCCTTTTCAATATTTCCTAGGATATTTCATTTTTCTGGGAGAGGGCTGGATGATAACTTCCCACACATGATTGCTCTATTGTCCACCATGTAGACTTGGACGTTTTTGAATTGTGCTGAGAAGGAAGATATGGAACCTTGAAATTTTGGGTTTCTAAATTGGATCTTCCTCTTTAATTTTGTCACAGCTAGAGTGCCTTGATCCTAACAAGAATTCTGGTGCCTGCAGGGCCACCGGAAGGGCACTTGCACAGCCATTTCCTGAGGTAACATGGAAGGAGCAGCAGGCTGCTTTTTAGTGCTTAGATGGTCCGCTTAGGAATATTGCGACTGCAAAAGTTCTTTGTCAGATATGCTAGTCCTGGGTATGATGGCCTAGGGTTATTCCTAAATCCTATTCTGACTTGCTTATGTTTTTGCAGATCTCAGTTTCTAGTCTTTCAGCTGAAGTGAGAAGATTCTTGAAAACTTCAAAAGAAAAACACAGCTGCTTCACTGAATCTGTGTGACTGATTCATTTGTCGGGTCTATATACACTGACAACATAAGTTATGTTTAAAATGAAACTAATTATGTTAATAGTCACTGCATGAAAGAGAACAGTTTTCTTTTCTTTTGGAATTCAGGAAGTAAGAGGACACTTTCCATTAGCATGTTGTTTTCATTCACGGATTTGAGCAAGAAAATGTGAGTTTTTTAGATAAAATCACAAAAATAGTGCCTGCTGTCTCCCATGAACAACTTTGCATTTCCCCAAAGTCCTTGTCTCTCAGCCTTGGTCCTATAAACCTCACACCAGGGCCTTTGATTTTTACAGAGAAATCTCTCCTTGTTGTCCTTGGAGTTGTCAAGAGGCTGCTATAGAGTTGCTGATTCTTATCTTTGGAGTTTTTGGTGCTCTCTGAGCTTGGCTGTTTTCTTGTAGACATTCATTTTATTCTTAGGCTAGGTAACATCTTTTGTGCTAGAAGGGTGTGGAGTTTGTTTTCTATTTATATACAGTAGATTGCCCTATCAATATTGGTGGGAATGTTGTTTTCTTCTTGGTAGTTCCTTTTTAGACTTTTGTTTACTTCTTGATTGTTTGAATTGGTGGTTCATTGATTAGAGTTTAGTTCATTATTTAATTGTTTGGTGTTCATCCTGGTATTAATCCCTACTTACTTTTGTATGGTTTCTTTTGAATGGTATATAAATGTTCTTTGTCTTTATGTGTTACTAATGACTGATATATCTGAGTGCCAAGCTTCTAGGAATTCCCTAGCATCTTTGGATTTAATTTGGTCGAGCATCCTCAGTTAACTATGGTTAAGTCTGTTGATGTGCTGTGAAATTAAAGAGTCTTTTTATCATGTCATCTAAAGCTAGTTGGTGTTCATGATTCTTCAAGACTCTTTATCTTTCAGAGTGTAAACAATATTATTCAGTTGGCCAGGAGTCATTGGCAAACTGAACATGCTTTTTAATAATTTCTGATTAATTTCTTCTGCATTTCTCAAATAGGTTCTTTTTTAAAGTTTCTGTGTTTAATAAACGTGAAACTTTGATATTGGCTTCTGAATGAAGTATTTTTGGGGCTGAACTGTCTATTTAGCTTTGATTAAAAATAAGTCCTTCTTTTATATTGATTTAAAATGTGAGAAATACAAAACTAATGTTTTCCTCCCTATTTCAGAATGGGATTCTTGAAGATTTACTTAAGAATTAATTTAAATTACCAATATTTTATTTTGAATAAGCAGTGTTCTCACGATCTGCTTCTCTGCTCTGATACAGGAAGTCCTCAACTTACAACAGTTTGTTTAGTGACTGTTGAACGTTACAACGGTACTGAAAACCATGACATGGCCATTTTTTATAGTTATGACCTTTCAGCATCCCCATGATCATGTGATCAAAATTCAGATGCTTGGCAGCTGGTTCATATTTGTGACCTTTCCTGTGTCCCAGAGTCATGTTAACATCTTTTTGCAAACTTCTGACAAGCAAAGGCAACAAGGAAGCCAGATTCACTTAACAACCAGGTTACTTATAAACTTTAGTGATTCACTTAACAACTGTGGCAAGTAAAGTTGTAAAATGGGGCAAAACTCACTTAACAAGTGTCTCACTTAACAACAGAAACTTTGGGTTCATTTGTGGTCAAGGACTATCTGTATTTCCCAATCTTTGGTAATATATTAATATTGTACTGTTATCATTTTGTATGCTTATATTTTTGATAGTTTAGAAAGTAGAGTTCCTGAGACAAAGACTAAGGCAATATCTTGCTTGATTATACATAAGATGAAAATGATCTCTTAAAGTTTTGGAGGAGAAGCATGATAGAGAGGTTACAAAGAAATATCATTTATAGAAATGTTCCTAGGCATCAAACTGGTACAATATAAGAAAACAATTAGAGGAAACCAGGTTAGATTATTTAACAGTTTAGCTATTTTTAAGCATTTTAATCATCTTTTCAAACATATTTATACAGGTAGTCCTCAACGTATGACCATAATTGAGCCCAAAATTTATATTGCTAATGAAGAATTTCTTAAATAAGTTTTGCCCCATTTTACAACCTTTCTTGCCACGGTTGTTAAGTTTGTAGCACAGTTGTTAAGTGAATCTGCTTCCCGTTTGACGTTTGTGGTTAGAAGGTTGCAAAAGGTGATCACATGACCCTGGGACATTGCAATTAATATCATAAATATGAGTCAGTTGCCAAGCATTTTGATCATGTGGCCATGCTGCAATGGTTGTAAATGTGAAAAATATTCATAAGCCAACTTTTTCAGTGCCTTTGTAACTTTAAACTGTCACTAAACAAACTGTTGCAAGTTGAGGACTATCTGTAATGCTAACTCAGTTTCTGCACCACGTTGTGTAATTATGGTGTAAGCAGCTAAACTGCCATCATTTTTTGTATTTCCAGATATTTAGACAAAGAAGGCTGGGCCCCAGCGTCTTATCTGAAGAAAGCAAAAGATGAGCTTCCCACTCGGAAAAAGAATCTTACAGGACCAGTGGAAATTATAGGAAACATCATGGAGATCAGCAACTTGCTGAACAAGAAATCTTCCAGTGACAAGGAAACTCAGTCAGAAATTGAAACGACAGAATCCCATGTTGCCAAGAAAGAAATAAGCTTGCCCATCTTATGCAATGACTCCAATGGCAATTTCATGATGACCCAAGATAAGCAGATTTCGAAGCAGGTGCAGGGATCTCCTGCCATAGCACGGATTGCCCCACAAAGAGCTCAGATAAGTAAGAGCACGATGATCTTCTAACTTTCCCACTCCCAAAGCTTATCATTTAGAAACACAGATAAAATGGGACTGTAAATTGAGAAGACAGTGGTTTGGAAGAGGTAGAGGGCTTATGATTTAAACATTTTATTGCCTCTTGAATGCATCTGTCCATTCTGATATTTCTCAGCTGTTAATTTTTCCAAATTTAATTTACCGTATTTTTCATAGTATGAGACACACCTTATTTCCTCAAAAAAGAGGCTGAAAATCTGGATGCGTCTTATACATTGAATACAGCATTTTTTGCCTCCCAAAGCCCCGCCCCTTCACAAAATGGCCGTGCATACCCTTATGGAGGCTTTCAGAGACCTCCTGAGGGCTGGGGAGGGCAGAAATGAGCAAAAAACAGGACGTTTTTTGCCCCACCCTCACCCCTAGTAGCACTCTATAAGCCTCTATAAGGCTATGCTTTTCGGTTTTTGCTCGTTTTTGCTTGTTTTTTTGCTCGTTTTTGGCCCCACCCCACCCCCACAAGAGCACTCTGCAAGCCCCCCCAAAGGCTATTCATGCCTTTAAAGGGGGGGCGTTTTTGTGAAAAACGGGCCGTTTTGGGGGGGTTTGTAGAGTGCAAAAAGTTTTTTTTTCCCCTTTTGGAAAGCTCTTTAACTAATTGATGAGAATTAGATTGATCAAGTGCTGTGCCAGCAGAAATAAAATCTTAGGTACTGCAGATTGTCAGCGATTTCCTTCTCCAGCATCCATTAGACATCAGCAGAGATCTGGACCATGCATGTGGCATGTCCATATGGGAATGCGTGGGGCAGGCAGGTTGAGGGGAGCAAGTAGCTTGGTTCTATGGTATCTAAAGCTTTAAAGGCAATAACCAGGAAACTTGAATTGCATCTGAACATCTATTGGGAGCGAATATAAGTTCACATGCGAGTAAAGGCAGGTGAGCGAATACTTTTGGCAGTATAGTGTATATTATTATGGTCTGTTCTAGAATGTCCTGTAGAGCAGATTCTTTTCATCTGCTCAGGTTTTTAAAATATTGTGGCTATTAGAATATTTATGTGTGGTGGGGGGACTTTTGGGCTTAGAGTTAATAAACATCTTAGTAAATCACTTTTTACCCTTTTGCTTACAATTTGACTGACAATAATTTGGAAACATTCCTTCTTTGTGAAGGTTCGCCAAATCTGCGTATGAAACCTCCTCCAAGAAGAGAATCTAGTTTGGTGAGCAGTGATCTTGTTTTTATATTTAAGTCACTAAATATTTAGTATTACAGAAACACATTGCCTAATATTTAGAGCTTAAGTACAGGAAACCAGCCCTTGGTTTTCTCCACTGAGCAATTATGGAAACAAGTGGTACATTAATAGGTTACAGGTTTTTTTTATCATAAGGGAAGGTATTATGATCTGGGTGACTGAATTCACCCATGAAGATAGTTAGGTAGATTCCTATAAAGTTAGCTAAGGTATTGCTAATGATTTTATATGGGGGTTATTTATACTTATTTTGAATCTTTCAACCAAAGTACTAAAGTGAAGCTCTAACTTCATATCTATAAATTTTGTAGTATGCAGATTCTACTGTGTGTTCTTTATTCAAAAGTATGGCAATTTAGTATATATCAGAGTTAAGAGAATTTAAAACAATCTTTCCCAATACTGTGCTCTTCAGTGTTTTCTATATAACTACCAACATTTCCAATTCTGACCAGTAGAACTTTTAGATGGGTCTAGGACACCCCAGCTGACTGGTCGCACAACATCTTGTCACGAGACAATTCAACACAGGATAACTCAAGAGTAGTGATGTGCGGTGAGCTTCATGGCCGGTGAGGCAAGTGCGAAAGCCCCGCTGAAGCCCCAGCGCCGCATCCGCCATAGAGCGGGACCAGGACCCGCTCTATGGCGGACAGCGCTGGGACTTTAAAGTCCTGCCACTGGGGCCCTGCCGCCACTTTAAAGCCATGCCCCCAGGCACTGACTGCTCCAGCGAGGCTTCCAGCTCCATCCCGGCAGGCGGAGACGGCGAGGGAGGACTGGAGGCGACGGGTGGGCGGGCAGCGAAGCGAGGATGCTCGGGCGGCTGAGGCTCGGCCGCCCCTCATCCCTCAGGCTGGCTCTGCTGATGCAGCGCCGCTGCTGAGCCCGCCCACCAATCACGTCCAGTCCTCTCTCACCCTCTCCACCCGCTGGAATGGAGCTGGAAGCCTCGTTGGAGCAGTCGGTGCCCGCCCTGCCGCCACTTTAAAGCCATGCCCCCGGGCACCGACTGCTCCAATGAGACTTCCAGCTCCATCCTGCGGGCGGAGAGGGTGAGGGAGGACTGGAGGCGACGGGAGGGAGGGGGGGCAGACTCAGCAGCGCTGCTGCACCGGCAGAGCCAGCCTGAGGGACAAGGGGTGGCCGAGCCTCAGCCTCCAAAGCAGCCTCACTTCGCCGCCCAGCCTCCCGTCGCCTCCAATCCTCCCTCACCCTCTCCGCCCGCAGGATGGAGCTGGAAGCCTCATTGGAGCAGTCGGTGCCCGGGGGCATGGCTTTAAAGTGGTGGCAGGGCCCTGGCAGCAGGACTTTAAAGTCCCAGCGTCGTCTGCCATAGAGCAGGTCCTGGTCCCGCTCTATGGCGGACAGCACTGGAACTTTAAAGCCCTGCCGCCGGGGCCCTGTCGCCACGGAGGCTTGGCCGCCCCTCGTCCCTCAGGCTGGCTCTACTGGTGCAGCAGTGCTGATGAGCCCGCCCGCCCGTCGCCTCCAGTCCTCCCTCGCCTTCTCCGCCCGCTGGTATGGAGCACATCAAAACATACACACACACACACACACACACACACACACACACAATTAAAAACAAATTACAATTACCTACATTACAAATAATTTTGAATTCCTCCCCCCGCCCCCTCCCTCTGACCCACATACCTTCCAGCTGCGTCAAAAATGCAAGATTTGGTCTAGCCAGGCCAGGGCCAGGCAGGCTAGGATAGTTGCTGCTAGAGTCACCATGTGAATGACTCTGCTTAACTGTTTTAAAAAAGCCTCTAAACAAAGCGCCCTCTGCAGGAGGAGGCGAGAGAATCACGTGCCTCCTTTGCATAATTAATTTTTCGCCTTTTAACCCTTGGTTACCTCTGAGCAACGGTTAAAAGGTGAAAAATTTCTTA